GTATATCACGATATATTTCTTAATTTCAGTCGATACGATATAATTCCGATATCGATATGAACATTATTAAAAAAAGCCTCGTAAAAACTGCCAAGAACGCCACAACAGATGTCTGTGCATACAAACTTATGAGAAATGAATTTGCCAAGTCTCTGACACCTCATATAAAACCATATATTAAGTAAAAAAAAGAAAAAAAAAAACAACAACCATCTAACATCTAACCTGGATAACAGTTTCCTGCACAATTTATTAATGCTGTAAAGCAAGAGCATGGAGAGTGAAGTCTTTCTCCCAGGGTGCATTGTAGAAGCTCCAGAGCTCCTCGCCCACATAATTCACCGCCTCCATCCGGCCACAGGCCCCCAGGTATTTGGCGAACGGCCAGCCCTCATCAGAGGGAAAACTCTGCAGAGATGAAACATGAGGAGAGACCCAAGGTGAGAGAAAAGTTCTCCATTCTCACACACACAAGTAAAAATCACTATGTCCACTCAAATTTGGAGCAAAGAAATGCCATTTAAGACATAGATAAACTGCAGAATCATTATCTTGATGCAAAGTAGCTGTACCAAACTTTTCTTAAGAGCTGTGGATATTCAATATCCCCATTTCAAGTTGAGTCATTAAAAATGGATAAGTGACTATTACATTTTAATCCTAGAGATTCAAATAATTTAGAGGACAAAACACAGCATTCGGTAACCAGTCGGAGCCTCCAACATCTGGCCTCTGTGGTCTGGGCTGGAGAGGCTGAATCATGCTGTTTCATGGTCTGCTCTTCATCACATACATCGTTTCTGAGGGACCTTTGGCAAAGCGAATCGGTCATATTTTTTCTCTCTGTGACACTTTTTCCCTATTGTGTTGTCAATGTTAAACGAATTGTATCCTGACAAGACGAATAAAAATAAGAAATACAATTTTTGTACAACATTTTTATTTTCTCTGGCACTTTTTTCCTACTGTGTTGCATAAAATATTAAACACATTTTTTGTCTTAAGATAATTCATATAAATTCAAGTCAAAGTCAATAAATTCAAGACTCTTGACAAGACAAATAAAATAACATACGGTCGGGTCGGGAAGAAAATTATTCTAAGCGGACAGCGGGTGAACAAAGAGTGAATATATAGCGAGAGCGGGTGGGTGCGGAATAGAACCTTGCGGGAGCGGGACTAAAAAAACAGTCCCGCGCAGACTTCTAGTATAAATCATCGACACTCCAACTGAGTGGTGCAACATCTAGCGAATCCAAAATAGTTGGAAATTAACAACAATGCTTTTTGGTTTATTTCTAAAGAGTCTTTCTGGCTGTCTGGTGATGTTTCTTCAGCACTCGTCAGCACTTTGTGTTCCAGAACAAACAAAAGTGACATAAAAACGCAACAGGGATATTTGTAAATGGAATGCTGTAACCAGCATAACTGTAATAGTAATCTTGATGATTATTTAGTTTTACTAAAACTACGTTTTGGCTTTAGGAATTAGATTGAATACTGAATTGAATTATTAGGTGCTAAAAGTGTAACTGCTCAGTCTATGACAAATGAGTCAATTACAGAAGAGAACATTGTCTCTCTAGATTATTTTTTTTTAACCTCTGGAAACACGTCATCATTCTCTGAAAGTGTGAAATGTCTGCGGAAGACCACATCCTGTGTGAGAATGAGGTTTTGTTCCTGGAAAAAAAAAACTTCACTGTGCAGAACGTGGTTGCCCCTACATTCTGTTGCTGAATTTTATAAATAATAGATGACCACCAAAAAAAATAAATAATAATACTCCTACTGTTTTTTTTTTCCGCCACTGACCCAAAAAAAAGACATTATAGAGAAACATCATAGAGAGAACTCGGCGTTTACTCCACTTTTAACATTTATATTTTGATTTTTCATGTACCAGTTGACTACATTTGTTTAAATTCTATAATAATTTGTAGCATTTTGCAAAATCAATGCCAGTATACATAATGTTTATAGGCCACTTTCTCCTTTAGGGAACTCAACAGCCTAATTTTGACAGAGAAACACACACAGCCAGCTCGTGACTATTTTGCAGAAACTGTGTAGTTGCACGTCAAGCCCTATTTTCATTGTATTAAACATTATCTGCTTACATTTTGCATTGACGTTGTCAAACATCACTGTCAATACCCACCCTGTGTCCTGTTCTGCTACACTCTGCTATCAAATTTCCAAGGATCTGCATCATTACCAAACGTGAACTCTGACTAGCACTTAACACTATTTTCTTACCCACAGAGCTCTGACTTTGGTCAAGGACTCTGTAAGATGACAATAACCTTCAAAATATATGAAATCATTTCTATGCAATGGTGAAATGCAACTTTTTACCAAGAGAGGTCAAAGAGATCCTCAATTCACAAACAAGCTATTACAGCATGAGAATCATCAAACACAGCTGTAAAAAATATGAAAATGCTGCACATTCAAGAGCAAATTAAATCAGAGGTGATTGTCAACTGTTGTCACCTGAAGTCTCAGAAGCAATAAAATCAGACTAATTTCTTCACAGAGTGTTGTCAGGTTGGTAATGCATGGAATCGGTGACGAACACAAGCAATGCGTACAAGAGCGTGCAGAGAGAACCATTTCAGGGAAGTTAGTTATTTGTTTTTCCAAGCCAGTGGAAATTCTAGCCCATCAAGAACAGATCCTTGTTTGCACTCAACCCATTCATAAATGCCAGCAATGGCCAAATAGCTGTGTGACGCACGGAATTGGTGGTTGGAGGGAGGTGAAAGGTTTGTTTTAATAAAAGCACGATCAACACCACATAAGGACAGATGGCCAGGTGTTAGTCATCTATATCCAACAATGGTTAGTGCTGTGGTATAGCAGTTAAATGAAATGAAATGAAATAAAAGACCCATAAACCTTTTTATATATATGCAAATCATATATTCAATGGTTGACCATTTGGTTATGTCGAGTAGGGGTGGGCGATCTTCCCAAAATATCATGTCACGCACTTATAAAGCAAAATCACGATCCAGGATCTGAATCGTGATTTTCCCAATTTTGAGATGTACTATCGAGAATATCCAGACTGGAACAAGCCTATGACTTATCTATTTGCACAGATTAAAAAAAACAGTATTGCATTAAACAATCAGTTGTCAACATGATCATTAAAACCTGAGTTGTAAAACTTTAAAACACTGCATCACTGTATTAATTAAACAGATGAATTATATTAAATAAAAGATCCCCGTCATAAGCTGGAACCGCAGGCGGTAAGTAAAACTGCATAAAATTTCTGTGTTTTGTTGGCAATTGGCGCCGTAATTGCTTGTGACTCTTTAGCTCCACCCTCGGTACGCCTTCAGGAGCTTGGATGTTTTCAGAGAGAATAGTAAAGGTGCATGATGTATCTTTCTTTTATAAATGATAAAACTAAAGACTCTTAGGAGATATGAAGGATGCAATAATGCTATATAGGTACTCAAGATTAACATGAGATTGGCTGAAACTGTGTGTTATGTCACCTTTAATGACACAGACAGCAGTAGGTTTATTAGGCTTCTGTATCTTTAAGACAGAATGCATAGTTCTAATATACTGACATGCATCGAATTTCTTTCCCAATCTGTTTGTGTTCATTTAAGACATAACTGACTGTTTTATGTAAATACTCGCCAAGACAGACCTTTTTATTAAAACCGAAACTGGAACTCAAATTTCATTCATTGCACAACTAGGCCTACTGTTTTTCAAATACGTCACAGCACAGAAACATAATAGATACGTGTGATATCATTTGGCCAGTCACAGTCATCTAGTAGGCAGTCACTGCTGTAGTTTTAACATTATTATGAGAACATAAGAGACAGTATCTCTACGATTCGCTTGAAAAGTAGATCGTAGACATCCTCAAGCTCAATCACTATATAAAACCTTTAGATCGCCCACCCCTAATATCGAGGTACCAATTTAGTATCAATACCAAGGGTCTGGCATTGTGCTGATGCTAAAACGTTGGTATCAATCCAACCCTAGTTAGTGTAGAGGCAGCTTAATGAGATCTGGTCATGAAACCCAGCGCCTGCTTCCAACCTTGACAGGGCCAATTCCAGAAACTGAGAGTTAGTGTGAATTACCAAAAGACTTGGTAGCTTAAGAAAGACTGTTCCTGTAATATTTGCAGTAAAGTTTCTTTAAATACAAACACATCTGATTGACAACTAATAAAGAACGGCAACTTCCATTTGGGTTGCAAAGCTCCCAAGTCTACAGTTTGCTCACACTCTCTGCAATTATAGAGTCTGTCAAACTGGCGCTGAAGTGTGAGGAGGGAATATCAACTTTGCACAGATGGCTGTGCTCCAAGTGACAAACTGTAAAAGAATACAGCAGTGCTATTTTAAAAATATGGGTATGTTGGAGCCGTAATACAGCATACTGATGCTCACGTGGGTAATGGTGGTTTAAAACCAACCTGCAATTTTATTTTTCCGATTCTCAACCTCAACTAAACAAGATGCAATCATTATACATAACAAATGTAAGACTAGTGTGATAAAATCATGAACCTTGTATGTGCAAAACTCTGTAACTTTTGTATAATACAGAAAGAGACTGAGAAAAAGTCATCCACAGGAACTATGATGGTAATGTATAATCATCTGTCTAGTGCTGAAAAGACTATGTAGACAATTATAAAGCTCAAGTAGCACATTTATGTACGGAATAATTAATATATGCACTTTAACAGAAAATTAAAAAAAAGGCAGCATATTTCTGCTTTTAACTCCTCCAGAATGTCTTGCCCCATAGACTTTATTACTTAAAGGGGTCATATGATGCGATTTCAAGTTTTCCTTTCTCTTTGGAGTGTTACAAGCTGATTGTGCATAGATGTGGAGTTTTGCGCATCGTGTGTGTGTGTGTGTGTGCGCGCGTGTGTGTGAGAGAGAGAGAGAGAGATAGGGTCACACCACTGTGGAGTCAGCTGTCTTAACCATGGCTTGTGTACTGCAAACACCTACCAGCTTCATCACTGTGTCTGTCACGCGACTGTTCCCCTTTCGGGCTCTGTCTTTAAATTTATTTTGAAAGATGAAGCTTGCGATTATGGTAAGGGGCGTTACATTTCCGAGTGCTTGCGGTGTTCGGCCAATCACAATGCACTGGGTCAGCTGGCCAATCAGAGCAGACTGCGCTTGTCG